GACTTTTTGTGGAAACTGCATACAATTTGGTCAAAAGGCTAGTCCTACACAGAAACTGTAAAATAATGGAGCCCCAAATGAAGGAATTAGGAGATATTTCACTTTAGAAACATAGTTTTTTAGACAACCCATTAGGTATCTAGCTCAAAAGGTATCATGAACCAAACCGAAATAAATATTGTAGTCCAGTGTTTTAAAGCATCTTACCTTCTCTCAGAATTGAGCTCACAATTAGAGAAAAATTGGAGAGAATTCCATTCTCTGTTATCACTTAATTTTGACTTAATGAACCATATCAAGTGGTGAGCAGTGTGAATGTGGAAATGCTCAGAAGGAAGTAGCTTTGTGTATGCAGAGAGCAGAGGCCGATTAGATTATTCAAACATGTGTATGGCGTGTGTAGTTCCTGTCCTAACATTCAGTTCCTGGAATTTTGTCTGGCCTCTTCATTTTACTTTGGCCAAAAATAAACCCTGTGTGGTGTATCTGTCCTCATTAACCATTTTACTTCTCTCCTCACTGGAATATTGTGGAATAAACATTCACAAAGACAGTGTTGTAGGTGGTGAATGAGTGGGTAGAAAACATAGAGTCAAAAGAGATAAGGTTTATGCACCCATTCTAAAATATCATGCTTGTATACTAGGATTCTATTATATTCTTTATGAAGTTAGAATATTTTTCCCTAAAATTTGTTTCCAGGGTCAGCTCCAGAGCTCAATATTGCCCATTTCTTATTTTTTCTGGGTATGCCTTTATTTAGTATGATTAAAAGACAGCTCTCAGCTTTTGAAGGGAAAAGGGAAAATACCTTTCAATTTTATTATTGTTTTGGAACATTTATTGCCTATTTATACTGATTGGGATATTTCTTTATTTTGTATTTGGTTTTGAAAATTTTATTAGATATGCCCCTCCATTGGAATGCATATGATTGTTTCAAGGGAGCTAATGAAGCATGCCAAGGCAAATATCAATTCAAACTACCATCAATTAACCGTAAAGTGGGTGACAAACTAATTTTAAACTATTTCAAATAAAGGGTGTCCCTCAACATAAAGATTTACTTGAAGAAAAAGTATAAGCATAAGCCTTCTAACAGGAAGTGTCAACACTACAGTTTTTAAGTTGAAAATCTACACAATCACATTTCACAATACCATCTATTCTTTGTAAGACATTTATCTCATGTTCAAATGAAATCCTTATTTATGTTTTATAAATATTATTTTGAATTTGATTTCTTTTCTTATATAATAAATATTGTACAAGTTAAAACATCTTTTTGAGAATTTAATATATCTTTTAGTCCCAGTGATTTTGTTTTTCATTGCTTGTTTTTAATGTTTTCTACAGTAGTTGACAGTTAAAATGATCTTCAATTTTTGGTCCTTGGTCAAATGCACCTCAGGGCTTCCTGGGTGGCACTAGTGGAAAAGAACCTGCCTGCCAATGCAGGAGATGTAAAAGATGTGGGTTCGAGACCTGGGTTGGGAAGATTCCCCTGAAGCAGGAAATGGCAACCCACTCCAGTATTCTTGCCTGGAAAATAGCATGAACATTGGAGTCTGGTGGGCTACCGTCCATGGGATCACAAAGACTGAGTGACTAACACTACTACAAATGCACCTCAGTACTTTAATTACAATTCTAAACTCTTCTTAAATGGATGAATTCTATTGAACTGGCAAGAATTCATGTACCTATGTAAAAAATGAAAAAAATCTATCTTGTTTTCTCATTTTAATTTCTTTCTGTTAAAAAATTATTTTACCTCAAGTTTATATTTCCTCCAAAAATGACTACATTTATTGGCATAAATAAAATTTCAGAATACTGTTACCACTGCTAACTTGATTGGATTTGAAAATAAGGTAATTAAAAGTATTAAGTGTCAATAAATATAGAGCAGGTATCCTAGCATGCATCATTTAATTCCATAAGCAATGAAAATGACAACATCTTCACCATGTGTCAGGAACTTGACCATGTGCTTTACATATCTCTATAATTCCCACTAAGCCACCTATTAATCCCCTTTCCTGATGAAGAATTCAGGACCCAGAGAATTAAATAATTTACTAAAATCAGACTCTCATCAATGTTGCAGTAAGAATTCAAACTGGGTCTCCATAATTCTAAAGCTCCTTCTCTTTTCTCTAAATTCCATTATACCTAAAAATAATTAACTGAAAGCATGAAAAACAGATTTCTGCTAATGTGATCTGAAGTTTTTAGTACACCTGATAACATATATTTAGTGGTAAAAAGAATACAGCCCCTTTATTTCAAATGGCATACTATGTTGTTATAATGCATAGAAATGGAAGGTTCAATTGAGCCAAAAGAAACTATCCAACTTCTCTGTGTATTTTTATTAAATCTGTTTATATGTAGAAGCATTCTCAATGCAGTGAACTCAAAGGAACTATTTATAGTCTGTGTAGCTATTGTCATTACGTTGAATATGTTGGAAAATTTTACTCAGATATTTTGGCTGTAACAGAGTTTAACCCATAACTTCCTTCTTCAAAAGTCTTGAAAATGGAAATTTTCAAATAAAATCTATAGATAACTTCATTAGTGGAATTCCATCAATAGTATAATTAAAATAGAAATTATCTTCCTGCTTGCTAAATTTTTTTTAACATATACTTTAATGAAGAACTTGCACTTGGAATATTCATTAACTTTAAATTATTTAAAACTTGGTTTACATATTTTAACCCATTAAAAGTAACAAAAAACAACTTTTTTGACTGGTAACTTGAAAACCGCTTTAGAGGAAGTGTAAGAATAGGCTGGCATTTTGTTTCAGGACATCCTAAAATAAAAGAATGAAATTCTACTCCTATGCTAAAGCAATATTTCATTGCTATTCACTAAAAAGAATGATTCAGTCTTTTCAAAGGGACCATAAAATAGAGAAATACACCACATGGACTACTGAAAAACTCTGACACTTAAACCCTGCTTCCTGAGGGGAGGCACATTATCATTTATAATGTGCTTGGTCCTTCATAATCTCACCAGGTCAGGGACCCCTTTAAAAAAAAAAAAAGAAAGAAAGAAAAATCAAATAAGCAGTACAGAATGAGCTAGGTGGGGGAGGAGGGGAATGTACCTTTAAACCCACAGGCTTTTTGTTCGTGTGTTGCCAATCACACCAGCTGGTGTGCTTATAGGTTCTCTTGATGATCTGTTTTCACAAGATCCTAAGAGAATTCTCATATAAAAGGACCTGCTCCCCTCCCTACCAAGAGGTATTTAAAGTAAACTGAAATTTTAAAATATATGTATACACATCATAGAAGTCTACATTAGTGCATTTAATAATTATCAATATGAGAACACTATTTATTTCCACTCATCCGTGTACAAATGATTTTACATTGAATGAAACACTAAAGTTTCAGACATTGGATTTTGGGGGGAGAAATCCTCCGAAGAGAAAATGATTTTCTTAGGCTTTCCTGGGAGTGTATCAGTTTAATCATCCTCATTGCTGGTTACATTTCATCAGAGCATCATGCAATATTCAGACTTAGGTTTTAGCGATGGGAGAATAATTGCACCTTCAGAACACTGTTGATTAAAAGAAAATTCTAGCAGTTTGCTTGTTGGAGTATTGTTAGTCATCCTTCCTTCTAACAATATGGTAACAGGGTCTCACTGTATTTCAATAAAAGAAATGTATCTGTATATTTAGAATAATTTCTTCATAGGGTTTGGAGAAGTGGTATTTTGTTTACACAAAGCATCCATTTTTCATTTCTATCCTCCCAGGGGAGCTAACATAAATCAAAACAACTCAAATGTTTTTAATTTCAGTGTGAGATCAGCAGCTGTTCTCTAGAACTCCAGTTGCCACAAAAGAGGGATTTTTGTGAGTCACCAGTTAGATAGACAATGTAGTAAGATCTAGTTACATATTATGATACTTACTGTGCATATGCCCATTAGAGATCATAATAACAAAGAATTGTGTTTACTTAAACTCACAGTTTTGCAAAAGCCAAACAGTTATGTAATTGTCCCTATAGCGCTGTGAATCATGGTGGTAGAGAAATGTAATCAATTAGTGACAGGTTCCTTTGATGTACTCCATAGTGGGTTGACATTACAAATGACCCACTGAAGAGTACTGGGCTAAACTAGACTGCTTAAAAGGAAATTGAGTTCAAGTGAATATTTCCAACAGTTTATGCTGAATGTTTATACTTTATGCAGTTCCTAAAAAATGTGTAATTAGGCTATCTGCTTAGTTTACCAGAGGAAAGAGAAGTAAATGTGAGAGTTTCAACTGAACGCCAACCACGTCTTTTATTTAAAAATAAAGAAATCAAAAGCAAATTTGTTAAAGCTAAGCAGAGTTGAGAATTAGGGTTTGAAATTTTGTCTTAAAAATTAAACTTACGTTAAAGGACTATGATAACCTAACACTTTTCATTCTCCTGTTGTAAATACATGGCTTTAAAAGTTAGTTTTCATAAGATTAGATGTACTGGAAAGAATATGAGTTTTATAGTTTGAACACCTTTTAGAGTAGATACAAAAAAATAGGGAATGATGACCAGTAAAAAGACTATGGCAGATATGGTTCTGATTCAGTCAGTGATTCCATAAGCATTTAGTTTTAATTTCTGAACCCTCTTTAGAATTTAAAGGCTCTTTCAAAACAAGCTGGTCTGACCCCCATGGCCCATGGTCTCTTTTGGTATAAGTTAAGCTCTAGCTGTAAATATGACCTGGAAGCTAAGCTTTTCTCTTTAAATTCTTTTTAAATAAGATCAATCCATTTCAATTAGAAATCTTTATAATGTCTACTTCCAGGAGATCTCACAGAACCTGTCCAAAATTGGGCAAGTGAGATCCAAACAGAGAGGCTTGGTGATGCAATTGATGGATGTTAGGTAATCCCAATGAGTCCCTGTTCTTCTAGAAACTAAAAGCATCTTCAAATTGCAATTCTGTTGTTAAGTCTACACAAAGGATGTTACCTTTAGTCATTTAAATCTTGTATATCTGGAAATTGATCCAAGTGTCCTGCTATAAAGATGGTTGATTTCCATATATTCTGCTCTCTGGTCAAAGGAAAATTGATTATTGGTGTCTCACAGAGTTACATCGTCACCTTAAAAGAGAATTTATTATTTATTTATTTTATGTTTGGCTGAGTTTTCATTGCTGCACACGGGCTTTTTCTAGTTGTGGAAAGCAGGGTCTACTCTCTAGTTGCAGAGCATGGCCTTTTCATTGCAGTGGCTTCTCTGGACTCAGAGCGTGAGCTCTAGGCATATGGACTTCAGTAGTTGCGGTACATAGGTTTAGTTGTCCCAAGGTATGTGGAGTCTTCCCGGATCAGGGTTTGAAATCATGTCCCCTACACTGGCAGGTGGACTCAACCACTGGACCGCCAGGGATGCCCACATTTTAACTTTTAAATGAGAAAATAAATAAATCTGTGCCAATATTCATGTGCCTCACGCAAGGCTTCTCATAAGAAATTGTTCACACAATATTTGATTGGAGGAAACTTTGTCCCATCTCAACTCCACCAAATGAGTTTGAAAATATTATGATTCCATTCTTCACCTTGATTTCTCAGAATTTTGGTATTCAGTCATATCTACTGGATTTGCAAATATAGATTTCATACTTGCTTATGTCTTATTTCTCAATCTCATTTTTTATTTTACATCCCTATATATGCAAATATTACCCAGACTATTGTAATTTTGAAACATAAGGTTTATTATTCAGATGTATGCTTCCCTTGTTGCTCAGTTGGTAAAGAATCTGCCTGCAATGCAGGAGACCCAGGTTCGATTCCTGGGTCGGGAAGATCCCCTGGAGAAGGAAATGGCAACCCACTCCAGTATTCTTGCCTGGAGAATCCCATGGACAGAGGAGCCTGGTAGGCTACAGACCATGGGGTTGCAAGAATCGGACATGACTTAGTGACTAAACTACCACCAATGCAATTTTAAGTTCACCTTTATCTAAAGCCACAAAATCCATACACTTTAGATTTTGAGTCTCTTGTTCTTTTTACTGTTTTGGGAAAGTGTGAATGAAAGGATTCCATCTCATTAAGAGTTGAGCTGGCTGTCCTTCTTTTCTCTTCTGAGTTAGGTTCACATGCTTGCTATCTTATTGGTTGTAAATAATAATAAGTATATGATAATGACAAAAAAGCTATACAGTATTCAAAGAAATGCCTTTTAATGCATGGTGCTGGTTATTAAATTCATTCACTTAACCTTGTTTTTCAAGAACTATTTGTGTGGTAAGCACTTTTAAAGTAATAGAATATATAGGGGTGTTCAGTTTCACATTATCTAAACTGTTTGCTTACATCACAGTTTTGAACTTTAGCTTAAAAGATCACATTTTGTTGCTTATACCGTTCTGAATCCAAGAAAATAAAAACTCAGACTCACCTATTCCTAATTGCCCCAAATCAGCTTTGCAGGATGGATATGTACCTTGCCCTCTTTCCAAATGTTTGACATACTGATTGGATTTCTTGTTTCCAGATGGAACTTACTGTCACTTGCAACCACCTATCACAGGAATACATATAATTAGTGAGAGTCCAGTTAACCTTAATCTATCACAATCTTTCTGAGAGTTTATGTTAGTGTGTCCAAAAGTGACCAGAATTCATAAGCAGTTAGGTAGCAATACTGTATTTACAACCTACAATAGGCCGGATACTGCATTAGACACTAAAGATATGAATATGACTAAAGTAACCTCTGTCATTGAGGGCCTATACTCCTCTGGGGTATCCTGAAGGTGTGGGGAAGTATATAATTAAAGAAATTACTATATCTGTTGTGTTATATCAGTTGGTTGAAGAAGTACCGAGTCTTAGAGAGAGCTACAGAAAATATAATCAAATAGCTTGGCTTAAGGTAGATCTTGGAAGATGTGTTTTGGGGGTTACCAGGCAAAGATGGGGAAAACTGTCTGCCATATTTAAGATATATGGGAGCTGGAAATCATTACTGACAGTTGTAGAGAGGGAGATAAAATTTGGTATGGGTTATATTGCACAAGTTCCAGTACACTGTGATTAGGTACCAATAAGGTACAAATGTGGTACAAGTTTCTATTATGGAGAACTCTAAGGGAAGCAACCAGCTAAAATTCAAAAGCTTGTTAAACAGTGTTTTGGTTTAGTTAAATTTTGAAACTTAGCAATTATGAGAATTTTGAGTAGTTAAGAGATACAGTTTCATTGTGGACAAAATGAGTAATCAATATGAAATAGCAAATCAATAAATCAGTTCAGTTCAGTCATTCAGTCGTGTCCGACTCTTTGCGACCCCATGAATCACAGCACACCAGGCCTCCCTGTCCATCACCAACTCCCGGAGTTTACTCAAACTCATGTCCATCAAGTTGGTGATGCCATCCAGCCATCTCATCCTCTGTCGTCCCCTTCTCCTCCTGCCTTCAATCTCTCCCAACATATTGGTCTTTTCAAACGAATCAGCTCTTTGCATCNTCAAGGCTGTATATTGTCACCCTGCTTATTTAACTTATATGCAGAGTACATCATGAGAAATGCCAGGCTGGATGAAGCACAAGCTAAAATCAAAGTTGCTGGGAGAAATATTAATGACCCTCAGACATGCAGATGACAACACCCTTATGGTAGAAAGCAAAGAGGAACTAAAGAGCCTCTTGATGAAGGTAAAAGAGGAGAGTGAAAAGCTGGTTTAAAGCTGAACATTCAAAAAACTAAGATTATGGCATCTGGTCTCTCACTTCATGGCAAATAGATGGGAAAGAAGTGGAAACAGTGAGAGACTTTATTTTCTTGGTCTCCAAAATCACTGCAGATGGTGACTGCAGCCATGAAATTAAAAGATGCTTGCTCCTTGGAAGAAAAGCTGTGACAAACCTAGACAGCATGTTAAAAAGCAGACACACTGCTTTGTTCACAAAGGTCTGTCTATTCAAAGCTATCACTTTTCCAGTAGTGATGTACAGATGTGAGAGTTGTACCATAAAGAAGGCTGAGAGCCAAGGAATTGATGCTTTTGAACTGTGGTGTTGGAGAAGACTCTTGAGAGTCCCTTGGACTGCAAGGAGATCAAACCAGTCAATCCTAAAGGCAATCAACTCTGATTATTCATAGGAAGGACTGATGCTGATGCGAAGAGCCAACTCATTGGAAAAGACCCTGATGCTGGGAAAGATTGAGGGCAGGAGAAGAAGAGGGCAGCAGAGGATGAGATGTTTGGATGGCATCACTGATTCAACGGACATGGGTTTGAGCAAATTCCATGAGACGGTGAAGGACAGGGAAGCCTGATGTGCTGCAGTCCATGGGGTCACAAAGAGTCAGACACAACTGAGCAACCGAACAGCAACAATTAGCTCAGTATCTTTTGTTAATCTGGGGAGTGATCAGGAAAGAATCATATGACAGTGTGGAGGGAGAGTGGTTTAATTGGACAGGATGAACATCACAAAATAAAAGACATTTGCATAATGAGGAAAAAACTACTGCTCTAGAAGTAGAAGCCTAAAACAAAAAGAGCATGGTCCCTATCACCGAATACCAAGAAACAAGGAATGTAAAAAATTAAGCATTCTTCCTTTTTTTTTATTAATGTAGGGTATAGTTGCTTTACAATGTTGTTAGTTTATGGTGTTCAGTGTAGTGAGTCAGCTGTATGTGTACATATATCCCCTCCCTTTTGGACCTTCCTCCATCCTTCTCCCTCCCTACCCTAGATCATCAGCTCAGCTCCCTGCACTATACAGCAGGTTCCCACTATCTGCCTGTTTTAAGGTTACTAGACTGTGTTTTCTTTTTTTTAGTAAGAAGCAGGTTTTAATTAATGATAAGATGAAGACAACATTCTAGGGAAAGCCTGAGGATATGTGTAAAAAGTGGGATCATTGTAGAAGGAGATGTCTAGAGGGCGATATGGAAGGACTTCAAGATTGAATAAGTATGTAAGATACTTAAGTGGGTTAAGGATAAAAGACTGGACTGTATAGTAAGAGAATACTATTGAGGTGAGCAGTTCTGACGTTAAGAATATAGGAGAGGACTTGAGCTTGTCAGAGATCAAGTTTGAAGCAATATCTGTTTCCCTACAAGATCAGCAGTATGATGGAGGCAACTAATTAGAAGTGGGGCAGAGGAACAGAGGAAAGAAATGGCACGGTTAAATATTCCATTCGAATTTTGGTGACAAAATTCTTTTCGTCCTGCTGTTTATGTGTGTCCTCGGAGTGATCAGTTAACTATTCAGATTTCATCTCTCTCCATTGATGAATAACAGATGGAAAATGAAATCTCAGGCTCTGAGAAAACAACAAACTCCTTATTACAATGCCCTTTGGCAACAGTAGGCATTTTCACCCTAAAAAAATATGTTATTTCCTTAACATGTCAGAAAAAAAAAAAGTCCAAGCTGATAAAGGTAATTGTAAATTAACTCTAAGCTATGGTTCTGGAAAATTTTCCCACTATATTCACAACCATTATTCCTTGCATGTTGTTACTGAAATGTAAGTTATATATTATTTTTATCAGGAGACTTAAAAGATAAAAATTGTATCAGGCTACTGAGCTGTGGCATCATCGACAGCACCACCATAGCACCCAACTCAAATGCAAGCCCATATCTTCCTGGGTGGGAGGAGCTAGAACTGTGCCTGCATGTGTGTAAACATTTTACACAGAAGGAAATTAAAATGCAACCATTGGTGTAAAGTTACCCTCCACTGAAGAAATCCTCAAAACAAATCTGATTTCAAACTTCTCTCTCTCATATACGCACACACATATACATATACACACACACACATGCATACCCATATATTCTGGCTAGTAGTGTCTATCTTACTGGTTTAAGGCGAACCATATGGCCTTCAATATTCAGACCAGAGCATGAAAAAAATAGTTATCTGCTTAAGGATGTAGTCTGGAAATTGAAACAATTGATATTATTACCAAAAAGTGTGACATTTAAATTTTTTTATTGTTTTAACAAAGAAGGGCATTTTTAAATTCATCTTCTACTGTAGAAAGCATTTACATTCTATGGGAGTTTTCAATTATATAGGAAAATAATTTCACATGGACTTAGATTAGACATTTTAAATATTTCTAACCATTTCTCTGTTTTGAAATCTTGGTAGTCTCAGGTACTGGAACGAAACCCACTAAGACTCAGGGGGATCCTATTTGCATTTCATAGAAAGTCACATGTTGTTTGCTATTCAAGTACAATGGCATCAAATATCCTTGTCCAAATTTAATATCATTTCCTAAAGGGGAAAAAAGACTAATAAAGCATTTCCTTTCAGTGTAGTAAAATGGTTCTACTACACAAATGAGAATAACACAAATTCTTTTTATTTGGGTTCTACACACTTTTAGTGCTATCTGAAATGAGTGGAAATTGGACAAAAATGTGAGGATATGAAAGGACAATAACAGGTGAGGAGAAATAAAATACTCAGTGTTAATAATAGTAATATATATATGAACAGAAGGGTGAAGGTCATTTTACCGGGCAGCTGTAGAACACTAAAGGAAGCTGGTCCAATAACAGAGATTTTGAAAGTAAGGAAAGATTGATTGTTCCACAGTGTTTCTGCATCTGGCCTCCTTGATTTCAAACATTTCCAGATTGTTATCCAAGATTGCAACTGGGCAAACACTGCACTCAAGTTTGCAATTATGAAAACACAAACACACAGCAAAACACACATACACATCAAAAGAAGTCATAAGTTTGAAGGATTCTGAAGTGAGAATGCTAAATGTTGAGTCACAATTTTTTAAAAATTTAGTCTCTATAACCATGCCTTGTGCTTTAAAGTTGGAAGTATTGTCATTAAATTTACCATTAGGAATTATGACACCCCATCAAAGTGGGTCATTGAGAAAAGAATAAAAACTGAGGTCATTCAAAAGGATTTCCTTACTTTCTGAAGTGGTGTAATAATAGTAAATTACAAGTATCAGGGGAATATACTTTTAGGACTTTTAAACCTTTTACTAAGAAAAAGGAAATGGTGGGGTTTTTCCCCTATTATTGACAGGTGCAGAGTTTGGAAACTGAAGAATATAGGATTTTTTATTTTCAGTGAAAGTGCTTAGATATCTTAAAAACAAATCAAATTAACATATCATGTAGAGTTAGCTTAGTCTTTAAGAAAATTACTATTTAAGTATGTATTCATAAAAATAGAAAGTTGGACGTTCCTTTGTTTCATGTTGAATGATCGCTATATTCTCATTTATATCCATCTGAATTCAATTGAGATCAACATATATAAAACATGACTACCCACGAAAAAGACCAAAAATGGCTACAAAGAAATATAAAAGTTGCTACCCTGAGAGTACACAACAAGTTAACAAAATGGAAATGCGTAGATCAAAATCAAATATTAGTATATTTAATTTACTTTCTTTTTTTCCTTTGAAATTCAGTACATACAGTGAGAAGTCAGGAATAAAAATTAAAAGGGAGAGGTTGGAAAAGACTGAACCAGGCAAAGAAGAAAAATGAACAAGGTTATGGGTCAGAAACACTGGAATAAGACATGTTAACATGAAATCTTTGTGGTACCACTCCCATAATATTTGAAGAAGAGGCGCCATCTGGATGATGGGGTAACTGTTTAGTCACTGTGTTTAGTCATTTAGAGCCTGTAAAACACTTGTAAATAGAAATGCAAATGACTTCTGTGTTCTTTCAATATGTTTGTGCTAGCATTTTTCAATATCTTCATTGACATGGGAATATACAGTGATAGAAGTAAAGGAGGATGGCATAGTTTGCATATATCTGGGAATGACTAGGGACTTCGCCTCATGTACCATCTGTTTCTCAAACTATTCTTGTTACCCAGGCAATGGCCAAAGCAGAGAGATTGATTGGTTATGCTATCAGATTGAATGTCTGTCCCAGACACAGGACAGAGGCTACATCTGCAATGAGGAGCAAAATTACATGAGTTCCAAATATTTCCAAATCTAAAAATTTGTATGTCCATAATGTAATTCAGATGCTGAACTAGTCTATTATGCATCCTCTTCAACAAACTGAAGAATTTAGCGTTATTGTTACATGATGTCATAATGCTAAATTTTTATAGGACAGAGTGATTCATTTTGCTCTGAAAATCTTCCCCAAACCAGCAGGCGAAAGGACATATATGGACAATGATGTCACTACCTGCCTACAAAAGATGATGAAGAAAGATTTTGGAGAAGGAAATGGCAACCCACTCCAGTGTTCTTGCCTGGAGAATCCCAGGGATGGCGGAGCCTGGTGGGCTGCCGTCTATGGGGTCGCACAGAGTTGGACACGACTGAAGCGACTTGGCAGCAGCATTACAGGAAGTAAAGAACATTTATGTTGGGGCATGTTTGTTGATTCAACTCTTTAGTATTTGATTCTCTTGTTTATACTTCAGAATTTGTGGCTTTTATGCAAACATATCAATGACATATATCTAAAAGTAGCTGGCATTGAAATCATTGCCAAAATCATCCCCATATAATGCAAATGAAATTGGCATATTTTCCCTCCCTTTGTCATATTTTTTCATTTTGTCTTATCTTTTCCTTCACCTTGTCTATCTCTCACCATTTTATATTTCATAAAGTTATATTTCCAAATATTGATATCTTCTGGTAAATCATTTATGAATAATGAAGTTTAAAAATATTTATGTATTTCTCTCAAAGATCCATATATTAGGTTTATATTATCTGACTTCTTGGAATTTTAGGCCTTATATGTGTTAGGTTATTGAGAGACACAAGGCTGCAATGGTCTTTGCAAAATATTACCCAATTTCCTGTATCCTCTCCCTTAGGAGGAATTTCACAAAATGTCAGCCGAGTTAAGGAAAAATTCAAGGCTTTGATATGTCTCCTTGGTCCTGCTATCTGTTTTATTGCACAACTTTCCTGAATTGTCCCATGATCAAGACTTCTTTCAGGCCTCTGGGTACCAGATAAGATGTGACCACAAAGGGGCCAGATATTAATAACATTCCTTGCATTTCTAATTTTAGGCATGTGTTACATGTGTGGTTAAAATGAGACACTAGTTTTCTGGGTTTAAAGGGCTATTCCATGTGAAGTAATTCTGTAACCTTTGACCTATTTAGTAATGCTTTGGGAAATTACAATTATATACAGGTGCAGGCAATATGGTAAGAAAAACACTGCAGAGGTTGGTTTGCTTTGCACAATTTCATGTTCTTCCAAGGGAGCTATAGATTTTAAGTCAAGTGAGTGTGAGATTTAATAACTTTTCTCTCTCTTATTGGTTTTCTTATAGCTAAAATACTACCTTTGAATAGCTTTAATCAGTTATCCATACATAGACTTTTGAATAAATGCTTTTGAATAACATGTTGATTTATAAATTACTGGGAATATAATTTTTTGATATGTTCAGTTATTCAACACTACCTAATAAAATAATATAAAAATCAAATAAACTAGTGAAGCTCACTTTATAGATATAAGTAGGCATGGTGGTGGTTTAGTTCTAAGTTGTGTCTGACTCTTGCAACCCCATGGACTGTAGCCCACAAGGCTCCTCTGTCCATGGGATTTCACAGGCAAGAATACTGGAGTGGGTTGCCATTTCCTTTTCCAGGGGATCTCCCCAACCCAGGGATTGAACCCATGTCTCCTGAGTCTCCTGCATTGGCAGGCAGCTTCTTTACCCCTAAGCCACCAGGAAAGCCCAGTATGAAGCTTATTCACTAGTTAGATTCTGTAAGAGGCATGCTAATCCTACAGCCTCGGTAGGTCTTTATTTTCTGGCTTAGCACAGTGTTTAATTTTCTACTTAATATTTATCAATAAAATGAATGGCAATTTGGTCATTTGAAGAAACTATGTAATATCATTACCATTAAGACCTATATTAGTAAAGAGACTGTACTGAAAATAAGTTATGTTTAATTTTAATCCCCTTAATCTTCTAGGTCATATTTTGATGTTAATTATCACTGTGTAACTATACTGGAAAGCCATGAAGATCAATATATGACTTAAGGTTTTTGCTTGTTTTGTTTTTTCCTTCCTACCTTCTTATTTCTTTGACCTTTAGAAGATTTGCAGTGGTGATCTAGTTTTTAGAAAATGAATTCTCACAGGTATGTGTGCTGCTGTTCTTGACCAGATCACTCTGCGATGTCTTATATTTTGGCTGATAAATACATAGCCTTCAGAACTCTTTTATTCTTCCTTTTTTCCCCTTCAAATAACACCAGGCTTTTGGTTAGTAAAGTGTCCAGGGCTAGGATAAATATTATANCTCTTTCAGTATCCTATCATTTTGCCTTCTCATACTGTTCATGGGGTTCTCAAGGCAAGAATACTGAAGTGGTTTGCCATTCCCTTCTCCAGTGGACCACATTCTGTCAGACCTCTCCACCATGACCCGACCGTCTTGGGTGGCCCCACACGGCATGGCTTAGTTTCATTGAGTTAGACAAGGCTGTGGTCCTGTGATTAGATTGGCTAGTTGTCTGTGATTGTGGTTTCAGTCTGTCTGACCTCTGACCCCCTCTCTCAGTGCCTACCTTCTTACTTGGGTTTCTCTTACCGTGGACATGGGGTCTCTCTTCACAGCTGCTCCAGCAAAGCGCAGTCGCTGCTCCTTACCTCTGATGCGGGGTAGCTCCTCTTGGCCGCCGCCCCTGTCCTCCGGTGTGGGTACCTCCTCTCGGCTGCCCTTGTGTGCTGTCATAGCGGACGCGCTCCTGCGCCGTCACAGCGGCCACGCTCGTGTGCCGTCGCAGCCGCCCTATACTAAGATGGACTGGAATGGGTGAATTTAACTCAGATGACCATTAAATCTACTACTGTGGGCAGGAATCCCTTACAAGAAATGGAGTAGCCATCATAGTCAACAAGAGTCCAAAATACAGTACTTGGATGCAATCTCAAAAACGATAGAATGATCTCTGTTCATTTCCAAGGCAAGTCATTCAATATCATGGTAATCCAAGTCTATGCCCCAATCAGTAATGCTGATGAAGCTGAAGTTGAACAGTTCTATGAAGACCTACAAGACCTTCTAGAGCTAACACCCAGAAAAGATGTCCTTTTCATTATAGGGGACTGGAACGCAAAAGTAGGAAGTCAAGAAACACCTGGAGTAACAGGCAAATTTGGCCTTGGAATACAGAATGAAGCAGGGAAAAGGCTGATAGAGTTCTGCCAAGAGAGCTCACTGGTCATAGCAAACACCCTCTTCCAACAACACAAGAGAAGACTCTACACATGGACATCACCAGATGGTCAACACCGAAATCAGACTGACTGGAATGCAAAAGTAGGAAGTCAAGAAACACCTGGAGTAACAGGCAAATTTGGCCTTGGAGTACAGAATGAAGCAGGGAAAAGGCTGATAGAGTTCTGCCAAGAGAGCTCACTGGTTGTAGCAAACACCCTCTTCCAACAACACAAGAGAAGACTCTACACATGGACATCACCAGATGGTCAACACCGA